CGCAGTTGAGGGGAACCGAAGTCCGAATTCATTGGGGTCTGGGGTTTAGCCATGAGTTATTATTTTTTACTGGGCGGCAAGGACGTGGACAGCCTGTGTTACGAGAAGCCTACTACCTACACGCGGGCGCTAACAGTAACTTCTCAGGGGTAGTTGAAATATATCCGAAAACGGTTTAAGCGACCATTAATCGACCCAATTTGCAGTGGAATATGTGCCAACTACATGATCTTCGTGTGCCACGATCGTAGACATGTATTTCGGTCACTGAAAAGAAATGAACAAGAGTGAAGGTAGCATGAATACTCCTATCAGTCGTTTCGGGCGGTTATACAACATTTGATCTATGCAAGCTAATGCAGCTTATTCGATTAAATGCCGGAGAATGTGAGATCGCCCACCTTCGACCCGGTGTATCGTTTCCAACTTCGGATACCTGCTACGACATCTAACGTAATTGTTCATTCGTAGATCACCCCAGATGGCACCTTTCGGTCGGCACAACCCCTGCTCGACAACTGCATTCAGGTGAAGCATAGTAATTTTTCGGCGAACTAATATATACATCATCGCTTCATACCACGCAGACAAAATATGATGTTGTATGAAACAATCTCTTGATTGGGCATTGGGCGTTATGACCTGCTTCGAGGGTATCGCGCACCTAAGCTCTATTTTAGTGATGTTACAGCGGCTGATATATAAGCTTGTGGCTGTGCTGCTTGGGTTGAATTCTCCTCAACATAAGGATAAGGACTCAACGTATGTTTAAGGCAATCATTACCCCCTGGAGGTTGACAGCCCAGGACATGAGTTGGATGAGGCTCTCAGGGTTACTAAGTCAGAAAAAGGATAGCTTCGATAAAGAGTGCCAGCGGCGCGTATTACTATTAACTTCCTGCACGGGGTTCGTGACAATCGCTGCCGACTGCAAGTCGGACCCGACGTCTAGGATGTGGAGCATGGTGGAAATGGAAATGATGTATTTGCTCGGTTCCGCAACCGCCAAAAAAAAAAAAAGAAAAAAAAAAGGTTTGCATGACGCTGCATTAACCTCGAAAAAGGAATGGGGAAAATTAATACATCGTATAAGATACCTTAGGAGGTACCTACCTCTTAGAAATCATCAACAGGTATAACTAGCGAAAGATCATTAAGTGCTACGTATTACTAGCCCGCTGGACACGCAATAGCAAGTCTAGATTATAATCGAGGTCTTCCGAGGCATTAATATACCTTTTAACCAACCAAAGGTTCTATGTCGAGGCTTATACTTGCTGCCTGGTAGGGATGATCCTCGTCGTGAACCATTGCGTCGTGATCAAAACCCCTTATATTACAGTAAGTCGGCGTTTCCAGAACAATGCCCGGATCAACACTAGCGTCTGTATTTGATTTATCTCTGGCCCAGAAAGGTTTTCGAAAACAGTAGACTTAGAAATCTTTCCGGAGAGGTAATTTGAAATGAATACTTGGCGCACTTTCAGTAAGCACCAAAACCAAGTTTCATCGCTGGCTTACCTTCCTTCTGGGCTAGACCGAACCTGACTCATACGCTCAACTTGCAGGTTGTTGAGTTGATGATGCGTCGACGTCTACGAGACTATGGCTAAGAGTTGGCGTAAGAAGATAGGAGCGTGGTTTCCTCCATTGGTGTTTGCTATCAAGTTTACGCACTCACTTCAGTCCTACTTTGGGTGTCGCTTGATCGTCTTGGTTTATTGGCGCAGAATCACTGAGCGTATATATACCATGGTCGTCCCATAGAGGAACTGCAGCTTCTAGGTATCCTCGAAGTGGTGGAAATTAGAATCTATTTTCTCGAATTATATGCCGATTAGTCCTAGGACGATCCTAGACCACAATGACAGTCTCTACCGAAATCCCCAATGAGAAGTTGGGTTCACACAAGGAACTATATGTCTCAGTGTCTGTGGCACACGATGCGGCTGCTCGTAGCGAGTCCAGCCTTGAAGCGGGAATACGTATGCCAGATAAAGAGTCGGTGTTGGAGGATCAGGGCCAAAATGCGGCACCGGCGTCGGACTTTCAAGATCAGACATTACGACTACCGTTTCCTCGACTTATATCAGCCTATCTTTGTCTATCTGCGCTCTATTTCATATCACAGCTCGATATCAACTCTGTTGCTACTGCCCTACCGACGATCTCGAGTTCCTTGAACGCCGGTAACACAATTACGTGGACGGGCACCGCCTATGTGATGGGACAAACCGCGTTTCAACCCCTATATGGGCGATTCTCTGATATCTTCGGCCGCAAGGTTGTCTTGATGGCCTGCATTGGCTTCCTTATTGGCGGCGATCTTCTGTGTGGGTTTGCTCAGAACTTTATATGGCTGTATGTCTGCCGGGCTCTCAGTGGTATCGGTGGTGGTGGTATCAACTCATTAGTGCAGATCACTGCTAGTGATTTGGTCAGCTTGAGAGATCGTGGGAAATACCAAGGGATACTGAGCTGTGCTACTGGGTTGGGAGCTAGTACGGGCCCCTTTATTGCGGCGGCCATAATGGCTAACACTAGCGATGGCTGGAGGTGGATTTTCTGGGTGCCTCCGATCCTTGCAACTGTTGTGAGTATGTTTCGTATCACTCCTTTCCTTTCTTTTTACCTTGGGTGTACCCGCAACTCAGCAACTTCTTCGACATTCTTTGGGTATCATCTGAGGACAAGACGAATATTTGTCAAGTAGCCAAGTACTTGCCTGAGATAGTGTCTACCAAGCCTATTAGAATACCTTGCCAGAGTTTTTGTCGTCGGTCAGTTACTAATATCAGTATAGTGTATGGCCTTAACGTGGGTATGGCTGCCCCTGAAGCCAGTTACAGGAAGATGGTCCGAGAAGATACAAAAGATAGATTGGCTTGGGCTATTCACAGTGGTAATTGGCGTGTTGTTTCTTATAGTAAGTACCTTCGCACCTCTCGTTATCGGCGTTAGCACTAAGATATCCCAGATAGCTATTAACTCGGGCGGAAGTACCTTCCCGTGGACTAACCCGATCATCATCTCGCTTCTCGTCTTGGGAGGCATCTTTGTTATATTCTTCGGTATCGTCGAGGTCTGGGTTGCGAAGATTCCCATGATACCATTTCGGCTTTTCACCAAGTTATCCACGAGTATGATATTCTTACAAAGCGTTTTATATAATGGCGTGTGGCAGATAAATTTGTACTTCTTACCTATGTATTTCCAAGACGTTAGGGGATATGACCCTCTCAAAAACGCAATGCTTATGTTGTCACTTCTTCTGACACAAAGTATCTCCGCACTGGTTGCGGGACAAATCATCTCTAAACTTGGCAGGCAAGTCTCAAATTACCATGGATTTTCTTAACCACCAACTAACTCAGCTTCTACAGACCTGGTCCTGTGTTATTAGGTGGGCTGGCGCTCTGGACTTTAGGGACTAGCTTGAAAATCCTCTTTTCACGGACTACTCCCGTTAGCGTCTATGTAATATCGTTAATCATCGAAGGAGTTGGAATCGGTTGTAATCTTCAGCCTGGTGAGACCCCATTTTCATATAAAGAGGCAGGGATGCCCCTTAATTGAGGTACTAATATGTTTGCAGCTCTGGTTGCCTTACAAGCACTCTCGAGACCAGAGGATCGTGCTGTAGCTACGTCGACACGAAATCTGATGCGCATGCTAGGATCGGTTTTTGGATTAGCAATAGCGACCACCGTTCAATTTCAGTTTATGAAATTAGGCTTGTCGGACGCTATCCCTTCTGCACTTCGTTCACGTGTAATCGATGGATTATGGCAAAGGGGTGAGGCTGGCTCAGAAATGTGGGAGTCGGCCATCTTGGACGCGAAACTCAACGGTGTGCACGCCGTGTTTATTATGACGGTCCCTATGACGGCCCTATGCTTGTTGGGCTGCTTCTGCATTCCAAATATACGACTAAATGGAGACCGAAAAACTAGCGACAATGAGGAAAAGAAAGAACAGAGGTAGAGTGGTATCATGGCTGGGTGGACATTTGGTAAGCTGCCTAACTTACCTAGTAGAGAGTAGAATAGCATATTAGAGTAGACGTCCCAACCTAAGAATTTGGAGGAATCATTTAAATATAACATATAAGATAAATGATTCATTCTCATCCTACGATTCCAACTTGAACCTGCCGCTCTTAATGTTACCAACGTCGGGGGGCTCGCTACAACCACTAAGGGGTAAAATAATACCTGACACCGTAATGCAGAACCCCCTCTAACTACCTACCCTACAGCATGTTTTCGCATCTTATCAGTCTGAACGGTATGCACGGATGAAGCAGATCTTGGACTTATCCAACACCATTACAAAGGCCCAAGCGTGGGATAGCACATGGCATAAATTTCCTGCTAGGTGTGTCTTGCCATATCTCCCCGAAACGTTTGTCCCTGCTTTGCTAGGTGAGATAATAAGGGGGGCGCCAAGAATAGAATTCATCAATATGGTTGATTTCCCACGGGTTCGGTTGCAATGGAAAGACGAAGAAATAAAGCGAAGGAAGAGAAGTAAACTTCGGTTCCGGTGAGTGGTCGTCGTAGGCTGTCATTGCACACGGATCGATGATGATAGTACCTTGTACCTTCAAGTACATGACACTGGCTACCCTTCTTACTAAGGTATTTTCGAAGGAATATGATCTCTCTTCGATGAAGGCTTGCTTGGGATTGAACGAACAATAAATTATCGCTGCTAGGTTGAACACATCGTGTAGTAGGGCTTCGAAGTGCACTGCTCTGAGAGATAGATACCTTTTTAATCAAGAGTCATGTGATTTGGTGGTGGATCAGGTGAAGCCAAAGGATGTCTATTGGCTGTCTCGAATTGGTTACGTACCTAACTTGATTGGTTGGCTCACCTCGTTGTCCCAATGGCTTGCTAGCATGAGTCAGCTATCTCCAGCTTATCTCCAGCCATCCCCCACTAACAATTACTTCACCGCGCTTAGAGCGCCGAACGACATCCACATCAGCAATCATGGGAGTTTGGCCGAGTGGTTAAGGCGTTGTGTTTAGGTTTTCTATCTTCTGATGAAGAATATCTTGAACTCCGACCCGCAATGGGAAACCGCGCAGGTTCGAATCCTGCAGCTCTCATCATACCTTTATTTTTGTCGATTTCTTGTATGCGCAGTGGGGTGCGTTTTTTCTTTTCTTTTTGCTCTTTTTTATCTAGGTATTTAAATGTGCGGGAATTTTTTAATTATGTGGAACCATAGCGATTAGTAATATTAATAAGCTCCCATTCCTCATGGCCCGGTCCCTAAGGGTAACTTCCGCACAGGGTCTCCTGGAGGCAACTGATACATACTCCTAACGTCATCACAAGGCATGAATGAAGTAAAGAGGTCTAGGAAGTGCTGTTATAGGCAAGTTGAAGGTAATATTCGACCACAAATGACCAAAATGAAGTGGGTATCATCAATTATCTAGAGTCCAGATAGCGCCAAGCAGCATTAACGGTACCTTTCCGTATTCTGTTTCCCATGTGTGCCCCCATGTTACCATCCCCCCAGTTGACGCCAATAGTACAGCCAATGCTAGCGATTCCCGCAATGAAGTTCCTTATTCCTACATTTACATTTGCGAAAGGGGTATGTGACTTTTTTAAGTTCCACCTTTGGCCTTGCACTCAGGTTCTGTTGATACAATCAAATGGGTTGGACGTTGTTCGCTCGTTTCGCTCGTTTCGGCGGTGGTTGCTGTTGCTTCGCTCACATTCTTCGATCCTATGTCCGATGGCCCTTCATCCGACGCAGGCCGAGAGTCTTGCCTGCACTCTTCATCTTCACGGGCGTGCTCTCCAAGGACGATAGCTGCAGCTGGTTCTGCATCTGCTGATTTCTTCTGAAATCTCCTGGGGATGAATGTCTTGTACATCGTTTTCCGACATGTGCGCGTAGTTCCGAAGACGATGAAAACCTATGATAGGTTAGTTAAGATCTCTTAAGTGTTGGACGCTTACAATAAGTAGGAAAACGACGGCGTCCGCAGGGTTAACTTGCCAGTAAGCTTGTTGAAACGCCCGGCATGAAGAGTAGGAAGTCATTCTTAGCCTTCTCTGCCGATAAATTCGGTGCTTCGCCAATATTCTCCTTAGTGTGATGCGACATCTGCGATATCTCCAACAATATAGTGATCAACTGGAAGACAGCCAGCACGACGAAGGCAATTGAAAAGCGCAACACGAGCCAGCGATCGTAGATGCTTTGACGACCATCGCCTCGGTCTAGTACATTGATAATCTCTCCACCCGTCTCTTGAGACCTCCTGGAGAACAAATAGCGGGCGTTCCAAGAAACGAGTTGGTGTCGAGTATAGACATACTTGATGAGGATGGCTATCAATAGTATACTACCGACCGTCAGGCTAATCATTACTAATCTCGTGTTATATTAGCTAACCCCTTAACGGCGACGATGATGGCGCATACTGTTGAAGTTGGCCAGCACCAAGAACGCTGCCTGCGAACTCTGGACGGCGTTCAAACGCAGCAGGGACATGAGTATGGCAGGTAAAATAACTCCCACAGCCTTTGCCACCTTATTGGTTCGATGTCTGATGTGTCTGAAGTTTGTCAAGTCCACGAGCTTAAATACGGTATGCGTGAGTGCAATTGCCCAGAAAAGGGTAAGCATTGCTTCCACATTATACGTGTAGTATTCTAATGCGATAGTCAGTATGCATTAATGGTAGGTAGCCTGGGCTTTCTTAAGACTTGCGTATATAGAACAAAACAAGATCCAGGCCAACCGACGGTCCCGCGATGGCTATCTCCGGACTGCCAATGTGTTTCGTGGTGTATTCGTACTGCTCGATTTTGACATCCCGCCACCAGATGAATGTATGGAACTGCTGAATGATACTCGCGACCGTACCAAGAAGCGTTGAGTAAGAGAGCAATGCGACATCTATTGAGGATCGTTGGAAATCAGTATGAGAACGGCAGGTGTGGCGTTTTGGTAACCTCCAACGTACAGCTATCCCTCTCATGATGTATCCAGACAAGCCATATCATAATAGAACTAGCCGTCAGACATAATAATGAGTATAAAAGGACTACGACAGCAGTGCCAACTACCTCATGGAGCAGTTGCACCACCATATCGACTCAGCAAGAGGTGATTGAGACATTGAAGGTGGTCGAAATAGACTCGACAATGGAAATCACAAAGGTTAAACGCCGGAGTGCCAAGGGGGATAAACTTGCTACCCAGGGATTCCGGGCTAGCCACTCATTGATGTAGGTGACGACTTCACTGCCGTCGACCTAACAAGCTAAGTCGCCGATGCTGTCACCGTTACAACCCTGCTCGGGTATGTTACCGAGATAATCCATGCTGAGATTTCCTCTTAGATCGGCGTGGGGGTACGATAGCTTGGGCCCACGGGGCTAGTAAATCTCGATGTGAATGGAAGATCCGAAGCGAGGAGAGTTTATGCGACCAATGGATGAAATGGAACTATGCCGGCAGTGTTAGAGTTGTCTACGAGGAGCTTGAGGCCGATGAAACTGAACCCCACGCTAGAGCAATGGCGAGGTCCAGGGCATATTATGACCTTGATAGAAAACTACGATATCTTCAATTCGTCCCATTTTAAAGTCTAGTCATGAAGTCCAGCTGCAGAATCGAGACCGTTGACGCCGAGAAGCTTTAGCCTAGCTTGAGGCGAAATCGACGGGTCCAGTGACGATGCTTACTACAACTAGAGCTTCCTCTTGGAGGGTCATTTTTGTCAACTTACTTGGCGTGGAATAACAAGGATGAATAGAGCTAATTCGGTAACTAGGGCCCCTGAGCCCGGTTTTCACGATCCGACTATCGGGAGATCGTCAACAAGTTTGACTCAAGTAAAAGTTAAGTCATCCATTCTAAGAGATCTAACAAGAGAGAGGGGTCACTAGCTGCTTGTAGATTAGATTCCCGCACGAGCTTCAAGAGCCGCTTCCGAACTGCCATGTCCAGTCCCTCCATGTGAAGATGCACGTGGGGGCAATATGGTTACATTACTAATGGAAAGCGCTGTATCTTCAACAAGCTATATACATGTGCTCTGGAGCATGAGCTTTACTGGGTATACTAGAATATTATGTTATGCTAGCATTTCAAATTCGAAGAAATTGTTAGAAATCTCATCCATCTCTCTCACAGTTTCATAGGGGCCTTAGCAATGTAAGTAAGCCGTTTTCGAGTCTATAGCAGACTATAGTAGATTCAACGAATAAGAAGTCGCTCTAACTTATACCGCCGTATATCACGCCGTAGCATTGCAACTCTTGCTAGACAAGAACCCCTGGAAAGCGACGTGACTGCATAGCAGTTAGCACGCACTTTAAGTTAATTGACCTGCATATAGGTTTTGATGATCTGCAAAAAAGCAGATAAGAAGCCGACCTACCTCTATGCATACCTATGCAGCCGGGTAACAGATTTCCATCTTGGGTAATAGAGTATTCGAATCTCGGAGATAATCCTAGCACTTATAATTGGAAAGAGATATAATCGCATATTGCTCAGTTCTTGTTTGAGGTTACTATGATGTTGCTTCCGAAAACCTCGTGGACAGATTTAATCAAGCAGCATTTGTTACGCGGCGTGACATCGCATTCTTGAGTCGTGTTCCATGTGGGGTCGTTTTCTCGCTTTCGTCGGCGAAACCCACATTGATTCGAGAAGATGCGAGCCCTGTAACGATCTGGATCATGTCTATCAGGGGGACGCGTGCCCGTTCTTGTCGCCAAGATGCCACGGACTACCTAACTACTCCAGCATCATGCAGTATTCAATAAAATCTTCAACACCAACAAAGTATGATTTGGGAGAGGGATTACGCGTAATACTCTTTTTTATCTTACGAGATAACAAAATTTCGTAGTTATAAGAGAAGTGGACGTAGTTAAGGGAACTTTTGTAGAAGAGGCCTGTCATATGTGGCATTCATTTGGTGGTATTCTATGTATTCTGGGGTGCAGAGGCGAAAGGGAAGTTGAGTAACACCTTCCTTTCGCAGACGCTCATGGCGATGGAATATCTCCAACATAGTAGCGCTCCCTTATCCTCATTGAAGACGATAATGTCCTAATATGAAGCAAGAGAATGGCTTGTTCTATAGTTACCTTTTTATATCCCCTTTGGAACAGAGGTACCTTAGGTACCTAGGCAACTTGCTAGCAGGGCAAATAGGAGGTATACGCGTAAGGTGCGTAGTAGTCCTTTTTCTTCGTTCATGTGAATAGAAGAATCCTATAACCTAAGTGAGGCCGTCGTATTTACCTACGTCTGCTCATTAGGCAGTTTCGGGGCGTACACACGTATCCGTATCCTGATGGACGCTTTGCTCCCTTCGCTTCACATTACAAGAGCTTCTACATATCTCGTAATAGAACCTGTGAGATGCCACCTAGTAGCCACACACGTTCGGAATGATTGGAAGACAGTGTCTGGACCGATAGTGAGCAGTACATCTGCCTGAAAGGTGCCTGTATGCATAAGCAGTGTCTAGTGGGGACCTTCGACGGCATTTCCGTTTCATACCGTGATTGAGTTGAAAGTGAAAAAGGGACTGATGATGCTGTACTGTAATTTGAGTACCTAAGATACTAGATACCGTATCATCTTGTTCTGCTGCTTTGACGTGGATTGACCTCGAAGAGAAGCGCTCGAGCCCAAGTTTTTCTCTACATCAAGGCCCACCTGAAAGATTCTAATAGTCTAGGTGTACATAGTAAGGCTATCCTTCCTATAATTCTTGGCGGTATGTATACATCTCTAATCGTACTGGGACTCTATCTCTACTTAGCGCTCTGAGCAATTTCAACGACGTCAGCCCAGTCTTTCGGTCTAGAGCGACCACCCTCACGAACTGTATTCAGATACGTCTCAGCATCCTTCGCCCAAGCCAAGAGCTGCTCCTCGGCGCCCCATTCGCCCATCGCCATCAAGCCGACGGGAAGCTTGCCCTCGCCCACCTCAGCATCAACATAACCAACCGGGGCGCTGACAGCGGGGCATCCCGTTGCGTTCGCCAACCAGATATACATCATAGTGCGAATCGTCGCGTTTCCATCGCTGAACCCGTACGCCTGGTCACCAGGA